GAGTATGATTTACAAAAATGATAAGCCGCATAATCGTGAAGAAAACTGTATAAAAGGAATGTGAGTAATCCATCTTGAACAAAAATTGCTGCCGACTATCCGCCTGAATATAGAAAGGTTGCAAAAGAGAGCCAAACTTGTGCAACATCCCGATTTTCACCACATTTGTTCTCTTTCCAACGCCTAGTGTTTCGACCCTCATTCGCAAGACTGAATATAATAGTGCACTACATTACACAACACATTCGTACTATTTACCCACGTTTTTGCCCCTAGTAGTAGAACGTCGCTTAAGCGTTCAACGTTCTGATTTCGATAATAGTTGTAAAAATAATCAAACCTCGGTAAAACGTCATTTGAAATTATTTTTAACAGCTGACTCTCAGACATGACCGTTATTTAACTTTCATAATCTCAATGTTTAATTTGCTATTCTTTATTTTTGCGCACGGCGCCAGTCATATTTGCATGGAGTCCTCCAAGTTAACTGTCGAATAGCATTTGCCAGTTTGATCTAATACATACCGCACTCTGGCCACTGACGACCACCGTCAAAGCAGCTAACTTATCCCTGCTTCTAACCTGGCCAAAAGTCTTAAATTATTTTCTAATTCCAGCTACTAGGCGGTAACTGAGTGAATTTGACATTGCAGATTACCCTCACGAAATTGGATAACTAAAAAAACAATATTTATTGTAGTATACACGTTTTCTAAGACCAACCTAGAGCGAGACACCATACTAAACTTTATCTGGGAAAATATGACTTGTGCGATTGCATTTTCAGAGTGACAGTTATCGAAAACTTGCCTAACCAGTGCATGAAATTTTGCGATATCCAGAGGGGCATGTGCAGGAGACCAACAACCGGGCGCTCAGTACTTACTTCCTTTCAAACTCACTAGGTATGATAGAAATTTAATACTTTTGACAGGTAAAAGGAAATTCATTGACAAACTAGGTCAAGAGATCAGCCTTCGCCACCTGCTGCGGTACTCGTTAACCGCCAGTGAGAAAAAAGCAGTGCCAAATGGGCGGGAAAAGGGATTTTAATTTGTTGGTTAAATAAATACGTACTCTCCGTTAAATTGGGGGTTCAATAACGAATTCAAATCAGGTAACATCATATGCAGTTCAAATTAATTGATTAATTGGTCGCTTGTAAACTGCGGGATGCGTTAAGAGGTTCGTCACGACTAGCTGTAGTCGACGTACTTCTTGGACTGCTTATGGAAAAGATATTTGCATTGCAATACGGTTTTGGCAGCCGTCCAGGTTTAGTCCAAAAAGAATAGTTCCAAATGTGATACTGNTTGTAGGGACCGAGTTGCAGCACCTAAAGATGCACAGCCTTTTGACGGCAGTCTATTAATCTGGTCAACCCTCATCTGTAGATTGATGGCACTCCCTAATCCTACAAGTTTTAGATGGTTAAAACCCATTGCTGTTTTGCTTATATACAAGACTGTCATTTGGCCTTGAGATTACTGGAAAATTGCTTCAGATAACATGAAAGCAATAAGCTACAGTATTTCGCACACAGCCGAGTACATGGACGATATCATCTGCTCGAGTTGAACCAGTTACTGACCAGTAATCCATTCTTAATGTAGCGAGAAGGCGAGCTGGCTGGGAAAAACGTCTATTGATTCAATTCAAAAGCAAACGGTGAATGCGTTTGCTTATATACAATCAATTCTCAACCGCGCGGCGGGATGATTAATGCCTCTTTCTGTGGGTCATTCCTTGTTGGTTTTAGTCCGCACTTGGCACATACGTTGCCTCTTCTTTCGTGTGCCATTCCGACTGGTTTGACCCGACCGCGGCGCGAGATGCGTTGATCGACAGCTAAGACGTTGTGGTATTCGGTGGATTTCTTTCCCGTTAGCTACGGACTGTCTGTCGGGCTGTAATTGTCAATTCTCTCTTTTCGGGTGGCAGTCAGCAATGTCTCCTGAGGCACTTCTTGCCGCTGCGTCTGCGCGTCTGGTCGGATGAGCCCCATTCTTGTTTCGGTCGGTAACCAGGACTCTCGTTGTACCGACTTCTATCACAATCAGTAGGTTTGACATGAATGGATGACATAAAGAACCTGTTGCAACTCTCTTCCAGAGTTCAGTCAGCTACTGAGATATCTCCCCTCAGATCTCTTGTATTATGACGAACACCGGAACAACCCTGATCATGGTTACATCCCACCTCTGCCGGACGAAGCAATAGATGTTTCTGTCCCATCGTAGTCGAGGCCCATTCAATGTAGCCTGAAATCACTGGGCTGACTGACTTCGGAGACTAGCTCACCCACATCTGTGGACAGAACCTACTCCCTGAAACTCTTTTTCCGAATAGCCGGTAGAATAGTGTATTCTCACTTTCTGTGGAATTCTACACCTGTACAATACCTGGCATATACGATATCCGCCACGTAATGTACGATACAACGGGTTAGCTTAATGGTTTGCATAAACAATAAAAAGAGCACTTTTATAAGCTCGTAATAATTCGGAAATTCTTCTTTAACTATCGAATGATTATCAGCCCGGTATCTCCTCATGGGCTACTTTCCGTGTAACACTGATAAGTCTGAGTTTGTGAGTCAATTTCTACAGCACAAGGAACGGCTAATCTTATCTTTAAAAACAGTGTTTCCTATTGAAGCAACTATTTATGGTCATGAATAACGTGATGAAATCATTAATAAGATTAAAAATTCTGCTGCCACCGACTGAAATAACGTGTTATTCGGCGACCAAATATGAGTTCAACACAGTACGCCACTTCATCGTCCAGATGGAGGCTATGCAACCGGATCAATTGGTTTATTACTGCGACGCGTTTTTCTTCTCGAAGGAAGCCAGCCGGAAGCCGCTGCTGCAAATGCAAGCTGAACATCCGACCGGTCCGTTCGGTAATCTCCAGCTTTAGCGAGCTGTTACACTCTAGTTACACTCAAGTAAAATTCAACAGCTGTTACGCTAAACGTAGTGGCTACAAGTTGACCCAGCTTACGAATACCACTGACACGGTTGAAGGGGGGACGTATTAGACGTGGTGCGGAGGCCTCACACTCAAAAACCCTTTCGCGCGTCCTGATTGGCTTAGTTTTTGCAGTCAACCTCGACCCATTGAGCAAAACGCGCTCATCACAGTACACCATATCGATTCTTGTTATCGTCGCTGCATGTCGATTATTTGAACTGAACGTGTGCTATCACTACATGAGCGCCGTTTTCAAGTGAATGCATTCACTTGACGAACGTGCATGAAGATAGCATCTAACCACAAACGAGATCATCCGAAATTACGTATAAAACTTCTGCTCAAACCCTTTCATTGTTTAATCTAAATGCATGCAAAGGAAAAGATACCAACTTGCTGTTCCCAGAAGCTTAAAAAACGATCATATCCTGGGAACCCAAAATTAACCGGATTAATAACAAACACAGTTTGATGCAAATTGATCCTCCTCCTCATTTTTAGCTTCCGTCACATAAACTGTTGTTTTTTGTGCAAACCAACGACCATTACATTGCAAACTGCCACAAAAAGAACGATGTGGAAACAGGTGAAAAAGTTAGAAAATCATCAACCGTGTTTTTTCATCTCTGTCTCCTCACTTATTGATCACCCTCCACTGGTAGTGCATTTCACTGGAGGAACACTGTAGTGTATTTGTGGAGGTATGTGTATCTATAAAAAGGAAGAGGTCAACATGGATGAAAGCTCGGTGAACGAAGGCGACAATATTAGAAGTAGCAAATAAAGGAATGAATACACGGGTCATTCAAGAGATAAGCACACCTGTATAAGATGTTTTGTTGAAAAAGAAGAGTTTGGAGCAATGGAGTTTGGCGTAGGGACAGTATTGCTGGTCTCGATTAAAGCAGATTTTGGTCGAACACAGCTTTTTTTCTTTCATTGACAACCAAAGATGCAGGCAAGCTATATGACTAATGATTGTTTAATATGTAGGATAGTGATAGTCCATGATTGTCTGCTTTTCTTCAGTGTGCCTGCCCTGAGGAATAATTCACACATTCACTCCGGTTCAGTGACTGGAATGACCCGTGCATATTGTCGCGTGAAATGACCGCCGAAAGTCCCACATTTTGAAGTAGCTGGTCGATTCACTGGTTTTAAGGAGTCAATAGGTGAGCACGAATATAGGATCTGGCAGGTTGGATGAGTGCATAAGTTGGTTGGTTGGCTGGCTGACTGTCAGATGAGAAAAACGAGCGGTTGAATGTGGCAGTTGTTCGGGACTGAGAACAAGTTTTTCTTGAATCACTGAAACTCTTGTTCACTTGCCCTTTTCACACTATTCACTTCGGTAAGACGTAATCACAGTAGGCTAAAATATCCGAAAATAGGGACAATGTACACGCACTACGCGGTTTACCTCGAACAACGAAATTATTAAATCAACCGGTTACACTGTGAATGAAAGATGACAGTTATGTCTAGTTTCGAACCGTAATCAAATGTATAGCTTTCTAGTTCGGTAAGTCAATCAAATGGGTAATGAACGGGAAAATAAGATGGGCAAGGGTGAATAGACACAAATGGGTGGTGAACGGGACGGGCAAGAGGGGTCCAGTGGTATAGTGTCTTATGAGTTAATCGAAAGTCTCAGGTTGCTCGATTTTGTCACCGATTACATTGTGGTATGCACAAAAGCAAAGAGAACTTGAACATATCGAAAACCTGAAGGCACGAATGTGCTGGACGATCTGTTCCCCGTTGCGTTTTTTGGAGCTCAAAAATGAGAAAGAGGATGAATGGAGGATAATTTGGGAAACATACTGAATCGGTCACTCGTGCAGTTGATATACTTATCCAGTACATCAATTAGTGAGATTATTCACTTTCCTTCTAAAAAAGAATGGCGCCACAAATTACTGAACAAGTATGCAAATTGGGAACTAGTGGAGCACATCTAGCTCCTCTTCGCATAGCTCTCGAATGGACTGCATGAGACATTCGTTTTCTCAAGATTCGATTTAGTAGTAGATCGATTCAGATGCGTAATGTTCCCAAGCGCGATAATCTGTAAACGAGGAAATCCCGGTAAAATTGGGTCGGTAATCTAATGTGTAAGGGTTACATGTGTTCCCCGTGGACGAGTTTGAATCGTGCGTTGAATAATCGGACAGACCGGTGTATGAATTGTTCATGTTTGACAGGAGGGATGGACTGGAATTGGTCGGACTGGACCAGCCGGATTCAACACGCCGCCTTTCAATGACATAATTCCGTCCATCATTATTGTCCCAAAATTGACCATGTGAACTTTCCGGTCCGACACAATACCTAATCGCGAATTCAATGCGTTCAACATTGTCACATTCCCGCGGATAATTTGATGCATTGATTTGAAATGTAAACGTGTCAAATCGAGCAGGCGCTCGAGCACTGCCGGAAGAGAGATCTGCATTATATATGGCTGGACAATCGGTGAAAGTGACCCAATTGTTGGTGGTCATTCTGATCCAAACCTTCTTATCGAAGTGAACATTTTTCACCTTGATTGTGCCGGACAATTGGGGGAGACGTGCATTCGACGAATTTGCTGTGTTATCAGTTTTTCCTTGCGGTTGTTGCTGCTGCTGTTGTTGTGGTGCGTAGTCTTCTGGTTGGGTGAGCGTAATGTTTTCCAACGACACACATCCGTTTTCAATTCGTTGTCGAAATTCGTAGTATTGAGCTGCTGGTTGTGCAAAATCAAGGAACCACAAGTATTTGCTTTGTTCTACAGTAGGCCCATTGGAGTATCCGGTGAAATGGTGGAAAGATGATATTTGTGTGTCGGAACTGTAAGCTGGAAAATCATCGATACCCCGCTTGTTCCGCGATCTGGTAAACCGACCGAAAGAGGACGCCTTAGGTTTGCGCAAAAAGCTGAGGAATGGGCTTTCAAACTCGTCATCGTAGTCTGAAAAGGGAAACAATGAAGCAATCATTCGACATTCAGTTGCCAAAAACAAAGAATCAATGAAAGCAAGTGAATGAAGATCCTCAAATTGGTGTCTTAAAAAAGCTATGGTGAAAAGCTTTAGATGTTTGATGAAAATCATTGTTTTATGACTGATGCTACCTAAGAATAATTTTCAACATTCAATTTAATCAACTATATAGCTCCTGTTTATTTAGCTCATATCATTTGTCACACAACTTGTAAAACAGAATTATTTGGTCATTTAAATAGCCAAACAGAATACCGTTATTTGAAACTTGACAGGTGAGTGATTTGAATGGTCGATGTAAAGTGAGCCAATTGTTAAAATCACGTACGTAGCTTCTCGTCACATTCACTGCCTTCTTCCGAAATGGATTTTGTAATTATTTACATTATTCTATTGTATATTTCAAGGCTTACGAAAGTATTTCTAAGAGATTGGTAGTCTTTGATAACCTAGGTACTTAGCACCGAGGTCTATCTGTTACTTAGTTCAAGTGGGTAAGCCGAATTGCATGAGCGTAGTTTATTTGGCGAAGAAGGCTCATGAAGAGTGTGGGTACCGTGACCACAGTCGTGTGTTCTAAACAAACTCCGAACTATTGGACAAGCTCTAAGGTTGCCATTTTCATGGCTGAGATCACTTTCGGAAAAATAGTCTTCCTGTGACATCCTCTTCAAATAACTCCGTCGAATCAGCAATATGCATACTTCAATGCCAATGCATGGTTAGTCTGGAACAGTTAATTTGTTCTTGATACAAGAAAACAATCTCATTTTTGTAAGTCAATTGTTTGGTAAAACAGTCTGAAAACCATGAGAGATTTGCTGTATCTCTTCTTGCTGTAGAACGATATGTGAATATCAAACGGTCGATAATTCAAAGTGATCGCCTGTCCAGTCATCAAAACTGTATGAATGATTGTGCTAATAAACAGGTGGGAAAAATTAATTAGACCGACATCAAATCACCTACTGATTTCAATAGGCTGCTCGTAAGCTGCACTCACATATTGGGGTTTACCGGGTGGTCCATGTTGACAATTCGATTACGAGTGTCTTGCCACTACTTAAAGCGATATTTTGGAAGCAGTTGGTGAGCAGATTTATCATAGTCAGCATTGTCGTATACAAGGTTATCCACAGTATTCATGAAGTACGTCATCGTTGATAAACATAAACTGAACAAATGGTTTATTGCTATAAAATTATTTCCTCAGAATTTCACTGTCCATCTCTTGAATCAAATCTGATTCCTTAAGGATCTCACAGGAAATAGTTGGATTGTGAGTGAAGAAATGGTGTAAAGTCAACTGCGACCATAATAACAAGTCAGATTACACCCACTGACTTCGTTTAGTAATTTAACATTTACTCGCAATTACGTGGTCTTATGAGTTTTTCGGTCTCCCACACATTGTCCGTATGTTACCGCCCCGGCGGATTCGGAACATTGTCATTGCATCCGACATTTTACGACTGCACTGTGGTCATGGTTTTTTTTTAAATTTCTCCTTGATCGGCAAACGGCGTGCGATGTTCGCGCACCGTGCTGTCCTCAGAAACCAATTGGCCTCTTCCCGTTTTATCCTATCAGGCGAGGCACGTCCGCAACGTGTCCTTAGGTGCGGTCAACTTCCACCCGCCTGTCTGTCTCTTTTTGTGGTGTGTCTGTCTGTCCAAAGAACAATCGCCTGAATTACCCGCGCTAGCTACACGAACATCATTCGCGGTGGGCAACGATGCGAATCGATAAATAATCACAGGGGCGTAATTCTTCAGTTAACGCCCATATTTGCGCGTGTTAAGTGCTAAGTGGGTTATCAGTTCGCCAGAATGGCCGGGTAGTTGTCTGTCGGACACACTTGGAGGATAGTGTGAGGGTTAGGTACCAGTAGTTCGGCCATATTTTGCATGTGTCCTTAGGTTGTTTGATGTTCCCGTTTGAAGTACTAGACGGAAGCGTTATGGTTATATCACAGTAATTAACACACATTCATGTAAAAAATCAGGTAAAATAATAAGAATGCCTCAAATTTTATAGCAATACAATTTGAGAAAACAACTGTTTCGCGCATTTTTTCTCATCAAAATTACGATCAGTTACAGGACTCCTGGCATCTGGTATTTGTGTGCCGTTTATCATCAGATGTGGTCGTGTTGTTTGGTCTTCTACACTCATTTTGTGCAGCATGGAACTGTTTTGTGGAGCATCCGGGAATTAAGTTCTTTGGCTCCTAAACTGCTTTTCATTGCGGATCTCTGGTCACTAACTCGCATGTTCCAGTAGCAATATGCCCGTCTGCTAATTACAACTTGTGTCTGCTTGTGCGCTTGGAGTGAAGCTCCCAGTATATGTGATAGTGGTTCACCGTTTATCCAGCTGACTATAAATTCAATAGGTTTGGGAAAAACGTACTGAAGTATCATGGGTTCATACCAGCCTTGGACATCAAAACCCCCGTTGATTGCAAAGGTACATGAACATTCTCAAGCAACAAATAGTTCATTCACTGAATGCTGTCCGTTAGGAAATCACAGGTTCTGAATAAAAAGCAAAATGCCGGTACTTCGAAGTAAAGTAATAGGTAGAGCATTGTTGTTGAAAAAGAAAACAGTGATTCAGACGGTTTTCAAAGCTATTGTAAAGCGGCTGAAACCCATACTCCAACAGGTTGGATATTATGCCACGAAGACTTACCGGGAATAAAGCTTTCCTCTTCTGTTTTACGGAACAGAAAGACTTCCGTCAGTGACTGACCGACTTCATCTGCGAAGGAGACAGTTTTAACCATACGGGCACTGGAAACTGATGCTGTAGAATTGGCCCGTTCAAATTTCCTCACTTGCAAAGTGGATAGTTCGCATTTCGTCAGTCGTGGGATAGGGTCCGAACAAGCTGGTGAATCAGTGCTGTCGTCACAGGGTGCCTGTATACAAGGCAGCGAAGCAGAAGAGATTTCTGTTTTTTCTTTTGATATTTGTTCATTCTCATCACTTGTCTGGTCCTGGAGCAGATTCTTACTTGACTGCTCCGCCACATGATTAATTTGGTCATCAACAACCGGTTCTTCCGTGTATTTACAGTCATCTGTAACCTTTTGAGTAACGGTGCAGGAAGTATATACATCGTTAGTTATGTGTTCCTCTGTCTTTCTTTCGACTATGGTTTCCACTTCGAGCTGTTGAGTTACATCAGAAGTGGGCAAATCGTTCCGCTCTGTCAAGGTTTCCACAGAGATGGAAGAGGTTACAGTTTCTCCATCCGGTTCGCTAGTGGACGTACTATTTGAGTTTGCTATATTTGAAACTGAATTCAACAAACGATCATTTGGAATAGGATCACACGTACCACTACTGACAAAGGTGAGGTCACCTTCGCTACTGCAATGTCTTCTCTTGGATTTAGTGAGCACCAAAAAACTTTGCTCATTTGGGAAATATCGTTCCAAGTTAGAATCAAACAATGCATGAACTAATTTATGATCGCCGGCAATCCCACCGAGACGGCCCAGAGAACACATGAAGTTCTGACTGGAGGCGTGTGTGCGATCAGACTCATCAAAAGTATGACAGAAATCACTGGAACTGCTGGAATTTCTCGAAGACTTTCCGGACGAGTCACTGGAACTTTTGCCGTACCGATGATGGAAATTTCGGTGCAACAACGAAATTAACTGTCGCAATCGAAAAAGCTGATTCGGCGTAAAATTTGCAGCTCTGCTATATCCATTTTTACCAAATTGAGTAGTGTCTTCCTTGCTGTAATCGAAACCCTCTGAATTGTCTTCCTGATTTAGATGAATAAAGCCATTTCCATTCAGACTGTGAACATTCTCGATTCCATTTGTGCTATCTGTTCGCCAGTGAACATAGAATGGATTTTCAGTGGACGTGTCCGGATAGTCACTCAACGATTCAGCACTGTTACAATTCAGCTCCAGCAAAGATCCAGTCCAATGTCGTGAAAGTCCACTGCGAATGCCCACGGTGGCCGCCATCGTCAATCATATGACGTCGAATCTATATGTTTCAGGTTGAGACACAAAAGGTATATATTCGTACCGCGTCAAGCGATTGGCCTAGCGCAATGCGTCGGGGCTTGCTCAGTCAACCCCCGAGCACGCGAAAAATACAATGAATTTGTTTAGTACAGTTTACCCCTTTTGAAAAAGTCTGTTGTCAACACACACCATTGTAGAACCAGTTGGACGTTTACTGGATTATGATTGGCTGAGGAGAATGGTCTGTCGCACTTGATTTTGCCTTGTGACATTGAATGGACCAATCACAAACCAACCCATTCACATGATTCTCTAATGGGTTTCTAGAGGATAGCCTGCTGAAGATAGCATGAACACGCAATTGGCTACGCTTGTCTGGAGATGCAGACGAATGTGGCTTTACCATTGGAGTGTGCAGGGTTCTTACAACAAAGTTAACAGTTTAGGAAAATCGTTCATCTAAATAGCATGATTTTGAAATAATAGTCAGTTGTTGAAGAAGGCGATTTCGCCCAACGGATAAACTAGGCCAGCAAAAATCACATTAGGTAGGTCACTATCATATAAGTACGTCCTTCAGTTGTTGAAGCATAAACAACACAGATTTTGATTTTTTTGTAACTGATGATAAAAATACTGTAGTATTGTTCAACGAAAAAAAACTTAAGACACAATAACCGTGCAAGGAGAATTGTGGATTTTCTCATCTCTATTATACTATGCTACTATCATATTGTAAAAAATATAGAGTAAAATCAATATTCGGCAAACCAGTAGAAACTCGCTGAAATCTCTGCATAGGTAAATGATTAAATCAAATTTTGACGCCATTTCCTCCAGGCCCCATATTTACTTAGTTGATGTTGCAGCAGTTTATTTTACGAGGCAGCCATCACGACCAGACTACACCTTGACCTGGTATGATAGATTCTGTGCATCCATGACCCTGCGAGCTACACAGGATGGTTTTTCACAGTCATCGATCCACTCATGTTTGATAGGTCAGTTGGTAGAGGCCAGACAAAGCTCAGTCTCACAAAGCCTGTTGACTGGGCACCTGTTGGCTTCCTTCCTTCTATCCCCACTCCCACCCCCGGAGAGGTCACACCAGCAAACAAACACGGTGAGCGACAGTTTACCGATCACAGAAATCCCGCTAGATGAATGTAGGATCCGGATACCTGGGGCTTCCTCTCGACGGTGGGAGAAGTCTTCGCAATGCATTGGACAGCTACCACATGTTTCATTGGGTGCATGAAACCAAACCCGATAAACAACGCACCGATGGGCAAAACACTGAACCGAAATCCGAAAACATTCCGTTTCAGGTCTCCAGAAGCTGCCATAGGAGTGCTTTGGTCAGGCTACGCTTTGGATCTACGCCCCACAGTTTTGCGGGGCAGAATTATGAGTAAAAGGCTCCGGATGGGGTGCCCTAAAGTCTCTGGTACCCATTTGGGAACCCATTTGTCTATTTCTTTTTCTCAATTTCAAATAATCTTAAATGCCTTCTGCTTATGCCCGGTGGTAACGTCACCAAATTACCACCTCGGGGGATGTGTGTTCGAATCCCACCACCACCGCCTGACTTTCCCCATGGTAGCCCTTTGATTGGCCGCTTCGCTCTTCCGGAAAATTGTAACATTGTGTATTCAATAAAAGGAAGTAAAAATTTTAAAATAATAAAAAAGTCACTCAGTATTGCACCAGCAAGGTTACACAATCAGAAGTTATAGGATTTTTGAAGCAAAAGTTCTCTTTTCATTTAGCCACCTTCAATGTCCGCACACTATCAGATTGGTCATTAAGCTGCTTTGGCTAGAGCTCTTGAAACTTTCAATGTAGATGTATGCTGTCTCCGAAACGTGCTTAGAAGACCCTACTTCAACCATCATCTTGCGATCTCCAGATTCAACCTCATCTTCACGCTTTACTCTCCAGGAGCCACGCAGTTTGGCATCCGCAGCTCGCAGTATTGGGAATTCGCTAAGTGCCAAGGCTGAACGCTACACTCTTGATTGGATTCCAGTCAGTAGCCGACTGTGCGCTATACGTATCAACTGTTCAGCACGGATAAACAGCTATAGATCGAAGCGTCAACGCCTATTCGACGAATTGTTCCTGTCAAACACCAACTTCTCACACAAGAAACGACATCGCCTTATAAGGAAATCGCCAACTTCGTCATGGTGCTGGACCCAAATCGACCACAAAGCCATCAGCTACCACTGGAGGGATTCAATTCAAGACTGCCGTTCCTACTGGTCAACATCTGTGAATACAAACCATGCTTTGTTACGAGCCCAATTCCCCTTNAACAACCGCAAAAAGGCCACCAACAACAGATACCCATGATACAACGTCAGCGATTGTTGCAAATCGGCCTTCGAAATGGAACTCTCCGATCGCCTATCAGTTCAACCACCAGCCGGAGGGCTTAATAAACAACGGAAGAAAATCAAATAAGCTATAAAAATATCGATAAAAGCAATCTCGGGCCCTGGAGCACGCTCAAAATACAAACGAGGTATCTCCTCGCCCGCAGCTGCCCTGCTTGACACCTGCAGAACCCTTCCATCTGATGCCACATATGACAGAGCGCAAATCCCTCAAACACCAGCTCACCAAGAGTCTGAGAAATGACCGCGAGGAGTGGTGGGTAGGAAAGTGTAAAGAGATGGAGAAAGATGCGGCTATTGGTAATGGTCGCAATCTATTTCGTCTAATTAGGAATACGGGCCTCAGGAAAATAGAGGTAAATGATGTGATTAAGGAATCCGATGACACACTGATTACCGATCAGCAACGCCGGCAACATGGGAAAGTTAAGATGTTCCAACTGAATGGTGTGAATCGGTGATCACACTGACTTATAAGAAAGGTGACAGATCCTCCTGTGAAAACCAAAAAGAAATTAGTTTAATCAGCATCATCTGTAAACTTCTAGCTTATCGATTGTCTGCCGCCTGTGAACGGTGCACGCGTCAGAACCAGGGTGGGTTTAGACCTGGTCGAGGTTGTATCGACCACACCTTCACTCTTTGCCAAATTCTGGAACATCGACATTCTTTTCGTAGACACACGATCTTTGTCTTTCTGAATCTGAAAGCGGCTTTCGACTCAGTCGACCGCTCTACACTCTGGTGCTGCCTTTCCCGAAGGGTGTGCCCGAGAGGGTAATTTCAACATTAGGATCTCCTTATACTATGTCGAGCCTGAGCTCAGGGCACGTTTTCCCTCGAGTTCACGACGGGAAGTGGCTTCCGTCGGGTTGCCCTCTCTCTCAGCTATCATTTAACTACGTTATAGATTTGATTATGGACACAGCCCTATCCTCGTGCCAGGAAAGCGGCGTCGGTTTATTTCCAGATGATAGACTGGAGTATGCAGACATTTTTGTGCTGCTAAGTGAAAATGCAGGTAAATTGCAAGCTTTTCTGGATAGTGAGTGTCAGTGCAGCCATGCTTGGTATGCATTTTGCACCTTCAAATTTTAAAATGTTGATACAAGATTGGGTTGGTCCAACATCCACGCTCACTCCAACTTAGGAAGGAATAGAGCAAGTAGATGAGTTTTGTTACTTGGGCAGCTGCATCTCACCCGGATGAAGTATCAGTTCACATACAGAAGGCTCGGTTGGCATTTGCCAACTTGAGACATCTGTGGGGCCTTCGCGACATCCGGCTGTCTGTAAAGTGTCCAGTGGCCGCGGTAGTTCAGCCAGCTCTGCCATACGGCGCAGAAAGTTGACTATTTGGAAAACAGAATAATAATAGACTGTCTATGAAGCATTGCACGAAACTGCTGGGATAGCCGGATGAGTAATGATGAGGCTAGGCGTAAAGTCTTAGGTAATCGCGGTTGCCCACTGGAGCAAGTGGTCGACCTCCATAGATTGATTGGGGAATATCATCAAATAGGTTGCCACGACGCGCAATGTTTGCCGAGACAAGTAATGGGGGGAAGAAAGTCAGGGGTCTTCAAACTAAGACCTGGTATGCAGAAATGAAAACCCTAACCAGGGGACTGGCCACATAGGTCCCGTTAGGCTCCCTGGCTGGAGACCTCAGGATGATGGCAATTGATGGTTTCAGGCGTCGAGTGATATGACTGAATGTCGTAAACAGTGACGTTTATGCATCTTTTCAACTACTTTGCAATGAAACTCTGCATTTTCACTCGAGTCTACTTTCAACTTTCTTTTTTATTCTTCTACTGTTCATTCAAATAAGCTGCCGAAAGGCAACAACCGAAACCGGCACGCGAATGTGCTTGGCTAATGATTGTACAAACCTAAATTAAACTTAAGAAGCAGGAAGAATGCAATTGTTGTAATTTGAATCGTGTCTAACGAAATGGCCTTATCTAATGGTCCTCCAAATAATCCTCTTTCATTATTTCGTCTGTGAAAATTATTGCATAAACCACATTATTGACTGTTTATAACCATAAAGATTTTGCGCACACAGATTATTATCTTTTGGCGATAGTGACAATTCAAACTATCGGCGATACTTTTAATGAAAACGATGTACACATTCAATCTATTTGAGGAACAGCTCAGTGAATGCTCGTTGTTTTGATAGGAAGCAGAGAACTTCTTGAAGAAAAACGACAAGGCACAAATCATTGAGTATAATGCAAACAATGTAGGATCAATAGTTTTCCCTCGAAGAAATACGCATGAAGTTTTTATCTACACTTCCGGCTGTGTTCCGGATTAAGTGCAGCAGTTGACCAAATGATTTTAGCTGTACAGTGTGCATTAGTTAGTTGTTTTCATAAATTTAGATTTACTCAGATCCACGTGGTAGCTGGAGGTATAATAAACTACATTTGATTAATCAAGATGGGTTGGCTATCGATATACTACGAAAAACAGGATGGGTTCTACACCATTCTGTGTAATATACCTGATTTGCATTGGCTGTATGATGTTGTCTGATATTAAAGTGTAAAGTCGGCAAACGTGTCTTACGCTGATGAACAAATAAAA